GTCGCTGCTGTGTACAGTGTATTTTATCCAAGTTCTCTACCCTTTGTAGCTTTGCAGTTGACAGAGATGTATTTGAAAGTGTGGTTCATATATTTTTCTGAACGCATAAGCATAAATTAAAATTCAACTTAAATTTACTTCTTTTTAATAAATTTGGTAATTGCTTAAATATTAAACGACTTCGTAATATTATATAATATGGGTTCAAGTTTCGTATATACCCAATTTAATATACAGCTGAAGATTTAAGATTAGAAAAGGCCGCTTGCAACTATTTGCGACACTTTCGGATACAATTTGTAAAATTCGCAAATACTCCACTTTTATCGCTCCGTTGCATATTACAAGTAACAGGAAAATAGTTTAGTAGTCTTGGAGTGTTCTTCTTCAAGGCAGGTTTTATTATTGGGAAAATGGCGATAGGACTCAAATCGTTAAGAACTATTGCGGATATCTCGTGTATTATTGATAAAGGGAAAGAGTAAATCTCGAACATTTATAAAGTGGAAAGTGATTAATAAATGTTGTAATTGTGTTTTGGACAAATCTAAAAATGGAAAATCTCGTTAATAAAGGTAAAAATAAATTTGTGAGACAAACGCACAAAGCCACTCCTGCACTTAATCAAACGACAGAAGACGACTATTTAATTTTTTTCTATTTCACTTTACTGCGTTTGTCGATTGGAGCTGGCTGATGGTGTAGTTTTGTCGTTTTGCTAGCGTGTGGTCGCGCAGGTATTTTACCTTTTAGACAAGGGCTTCGTGTTCAATTTTTTAAAAAGTATCAAATTGAAAAATGTGTGCTCTCAAAGTGATTTAAATGAGAAAATAAATATTCTATTGCTTTTTAATAACCTCTCCAATTATTTGAGTAAAATTTTTTGCTTAATGACATCCGGTTATAGGACGGTTCCGATTTAAATGAATTATGTTTACAATGTTTGTTTAAATATAAGATTTACTATTGCTATTTGCTTAATAGGCACACAACTATTTACTGCGACCACACAAGATTGCTGGTAATTACAATTAGGCATGCATTTTCTTAAAAGGCTTTGCTTGTGTTTAATTTTCAAATAAATAATTGTTTAGCGGGAAGCCGGTTCTTCATCTGTGAACTTGTTATACCCTGAAAAGCGTATACTAAGTGTGCACGAAGTTAATAACACCCAGAAAGAAACGTCGGATATCCTACAAACTAGATCGCCGAGTCGATTTAGCAATGTCTGTCTGCATATATGCGAACTAGTCCCTTAGTTTTTGAGATATCGATCTAAAATTGTTTTCCTCCAAGATCATTTGTCGAAACCACCGATATCGGGCCACTATAGCATATATGTAGCTGCCATGCAAACAGAACGATCAAAATAAATAATTTAAAAAAAAATTAGGATAAATATCCTTTTATACACTTTGATGATATAAAAAATGCATCTGTAAAGGGTATAATAGTTTCGGTGCAGACGAACGAATTGTATTCTATTTTTTTTTTTTTGAATTTTTGTTGAAAATTTAAAGATAATTTTATAATTATTTAATACAAATATACATATGTATATGAAGAAAGATAGGAAATTACTGTAACGAACTTTATATTTTCCAACATACGTATAATATATTTATATGTTAATTATGACCTCTTTGTTGGAAACGCGAAAATAAATATTGTTCTATATAAGTTGTTCTATGAGTTGAAAATTTCTTAAATTCAAAAAGTACGATACCAACTACTTTTATTGCAGTATATTAAATTTAGTTACTATTTTTACACAACATTAAATTATACATGCATATGCAAATAGAACATTAGAATTTATTGCTTTAAAAAAATAACATCTTCCCTCTGATTTCATCATACAGTGAGTTTTGTTGATAGTGTATCATAATACCATACTACAATAGTTATAAAATATTTGAAATCAGGAAACTTGTAAAAAAAATATGAATGTCGAACATTTTTTTCTTTTTTGAAAATTGCTTAAACAAATACCACTAAAAATAAAAATTCTTTCATGTTTAGATAATTTTGCGCAAGAGAATCAGAAAAAATCCGCAAACTTAGAAATTGTTGATGTGAATGCATTAGGCGTAAATGCTAACGCTACTTCTCCCAAAAATCATGTTTCAGAGCAGCAGCTACAAAGTCAACCACAAAAGACAAAACGCAAACACCGGCGTGGCAAGCCAAAACCCAAAAATGCCAACAAACCATACAAAAATTGGAAATTTCAGGTACCGCGACCAAATTTCAATGGATGTAGCGGTGGAATGAACAACAGGAATGGAGCACGCCCCAAAATCCTACGGTCACGATCATTGGTGCCATACAATACGAATAAATTTCTAATGGAAGAGCATTTGGCGGAAGTGCCAAGTTCGCTGCTAACACCCTCTGGCCGTACACGTGATTCAAGCTTTTCTGTCGATTCCGAGGATAACTACTTCTTCTCATTGCCAGAAGATGAGGAGGAATTTCTAACAAAGGAGTTTGCCAATGTCTATGAAAAGGCGCGTGTTGAACGATTGGAAAATTTGACTAAGCAGCAACTAATAGAGGAATGTTTACAAATTGAGGATCGATACTCATCAGACCAAGGACGTCAGCAACAGTTAAATGTTCAACGTATAAGTTCAGAATTCATGTCGAAGATAAGGATCCTGGAGGAAAAAGTACGAGAACTATCGCGTGAAAATTATAGTAAGTGTCAAAAGCTGCTTTTCTTTAAATAACAAATTTAACACATAATTATTTAATTTTAGATTTACGTTGTCAATTAATGCGCTCAGCGGCAATGGCCGTTGCAGCTTCGCCTCCCTCTGCTGCACCACCCACCGGGGCTGCCTGTCAACCGACGCCAATGGACTCTTCTAGTGTTGATAGTGAAAGTGACAGTTCCAGTTCTTCCTCTTCGTCCTCTTCTTCTAATAGAAGTGCAGGAGTTCAACGTAATAATAATATACGACAAAGACGACTTCGACGAAGCTGTTCTTCACGTAGTTCCTTAAGTGATTATCGAGCTTCTAATGAGAATGATCAAATGGAAAGTGATGAAGGAGATAATATAGTGAGTGGTGCTAATGTTATTGATGTAAATACCGAAAATAAGTCTCTACGAGCTTTGACAAATTTTAACTGTGAAGGACGCCTATCAAATGCAAACGATAGAAGCATTGTTGTTGATGCAGAAATGGAGGATGACTTTCCCTCATTTTCTCCTATTTTAGACAGTGTAGACACCGCACAATCGTTAGAGAATGCAACAGCGCCTTTAGAAGCGACTCATTATAATAAAAATGCAGAAGCCAACCAAAGCGGCGAACTAAATTGAACTCAATATCACGAATATTAGAATTTATATAATATTTTTCATATTGTTTGCCGTACGACTTTGCTAAATAATCTAAAACATGACATTTATTCGCAGTAATTTTTTGGTTATGAAGCTTTCAAACATAAAAAGATCCAAATAGTGTCTAAATTAAAAATATCTCTTTTTCAACGTTGATCATGTTAATGAGGCTAAAATAATTGTTCGAAGAGAATTCACTAGTTTTTTCAACTGCTACGATTTTATTAATCTACATTTTTATTGTGTTATGAATAAAACTTCTGCGTATACGATTATTAAGATCATTTTAGTTTCGGCCGGAGACTTAAATATTAATATATTAATATGAAAGCCCAAAAAAAGTTATTAAAAGTTCACAATTTCATTTCAATTGTAATTAATTTTCTTGTATATATTGCTATAATACAATTATAAATAATTTTAGCTAAGTGGAACAATTATTCGAGGTCTCCAAAAAAACAGTGTAATTACTATTTTTGGCTTATTTTTATTTGGTTCTTTATGTTAAAAAGCTGGCTTGTGTGAACATCTTTTCAAACACTTTATGCATTTTTAGTTTTAAAAAGTGCATTTATTATTTAAATTACGAATTTTCTTTGCCTCATGCATACCATACATATACATATATATAAATATATATATATAAACTAAAATAATACTAAGATATGAACCTGCGTTGGTAAATTTATCAATATTTTGTAGACATTAACTATAATAAAAGTCTTATCCTTTTGTACACAAGCCAAAAACAAATTTGGAAGCGTACAAATTGTTTGTACAAATTGTTTTAATGCATACATTTATTTATTAGTCACTTGTCGCAATGCTCGAACATTTTTGGTAATCATAAATATATAGTACATATAAAAATACCAAACTTGTGATATTTTCATATGTAACTTTTAATAAAAAAAAAATTGGAAAAAATCAACCCTTTTGGCATATAAAAATTGAAAAAGAAAAAAGACAAAAATATTATGAGTATGTTTTGGACATTTACTAATATATTAAATTATTATTATTACATTAAATTTCTCAAAAACGAAAAAAATAACTATTAATTTTAACAAAATATTAAGACCAAGACTCCTGCTGTTTGTATTTGATATACAGAAATGTGCATATTGGTTGAGAAGTGTGTATGTATGTAAATAAAAACGTGTTGCAATACACTCTAAGCCGTTCTCAATTTTAGCTATCTTGTGTACTTTAAATACAAAGTTTCGAAACGATTGTTTTCTTTTTAAGGGTTAGTTTATAAAGACAGCTTTGTATATACATAATATAGCAAAAATTTGTAATTCCCATATATACATTATTATTTTACGCTAATAATATATTATTATTATACATATACTTACATACAGATAGTTTGTAGAAATTTATTTTTGAAAAATAAAAAAAAATAAATAAAGTTATTTAAAAAGGCTTGAAACTTTTTACTTTCATCTGAAAGTCTTTTAATTAAGGGGTTTAAACATTTTACCTGTATATTAAAGTCACTTAAATACAATGACCATGATACATCACTCGACAGTAGGATCTAAGTAACCATAACGAACCTGGATATTTATGCGCTCAAGGACTGTCAACTCGACACCATCCCTCGAAATTACTTCGGGAATGTACTACAACAAAAACCCTAATTTTCATGGCAATATACATTTTTTAAAATAATTGAAATGTACTTGAATTACGATATCAGAGGCAATATATCGATAAACATTCACGCTATTGTTGTCGGTTTGCAATGCTTTCACCATAATCGAGAGCAACTCTGTGTAAGAAATGTTTATAAACGAGTATGAACAGAGAACGAGATGTCAGAAAGAAGAAAAACGTCAAAAACCAAGCATCGTCCGCATTTTTTACATTTTGATCTGAGAGAAAATATTCGCATTTAGTAAATATTTTATATTCTGACTCCGTTTATAAAGAAAATATTATTACAACATGGATAAGATAACACGGAAAAACGTACCAGCAGAAGATTTATCAAATGTGGAGTTTGAGACCAGCGAAGATGTAGAGGTAGTGCCAACTTTCAATGCTATGAACCTCAAGGAGGAGTTGTTGCGTGGTATTTATGCTTACGGTAAGTAGCATGTGGAGAAAGTGAAAAGATTAAAAACTAATTTAGTTAAAATATTTTTTGGAAAAATTTAGGATTTGAAAAGCCTTCTGCCATACAACAACGTAGTATAAAGCCCATTGTAAAAGGTCGCGACGTCATAGCACAAGCTCAATCTGGTACCGGAAAAACTGCAACATTCTCAATCTCAATTCTACAAAGTTTGGACACTACATTACGTGAAACACAAGTGCTGTGTTTATCACCAACTCGCGAGTTAGCGGTTCAAATACAAAAGGTCATACTTGCTTTGGGTGATTTTATGAATGTACAGTGCCATGTATGCATTGGTGGTACTAACTTAGGTGAAGATATACGCAAACTAGATTACGGTCAACATATTGTGAGTGGAACACCTGGACGAGTGTTTGATATGATTAAGCGACGAGTCTTAAGGACCAGAGCAATTAAAATGCTGGTTCTCGATGAAGCGGATGAAATGTTGAACAAAGGTTTCAAAGAACAAATTTATGATGTTTATCGTTATCTACCACCAGCAACACAAGTTGTGCTCATATCCGCTACATTACCGCACGAAATACTCGAAATGACCTCGAAATTCATGACAGATCCAATCCGTATCCTTGTTAAACGGTGAATTAAATATTCTAATTTTCATAAATTTGATTATAATTATTTCTTTCTTGTATATTATAGCGATGAATTGACTCTGGAAGGCATTAAACAGTTTTTCGTTGCCGTCGAACGGGAGGAATGGAAGTTCGATACACTTTGCGATCTCTATGATACATTAACAATCACACAAGCCGTAATTTTCTGCAATACAAAGCGTAAGGTTGACTGGCTAACAGAAAAAATGCGTGAAGCAAATTTTACTGTAAGCTCGATGCATGGTGATATGCCCCAGAAGGAACGTGATGAAATCATGAAAGAGTTTCGCGCTGGCCAATCACGTGTACTGATCACAACGGATGTGTGGGCGCGTGGCATTGATGTACAACAAGTTTCATTGGTTATTAATTATGATCTACCAAATAATCGTGAATTGTACATACATCGAATTGGACGTTCCGGTCGTTTTGGACGGAAGGGTGTTGCAATTAATTTCGTGAAATCCGACGATATACGTATTTTACGTGATATTGAACAATATTATTCCACACAAATTGATGAAATGCCTATGAATGTGGCTGATTTAATTTAATTGAAAAATTCTAGATTTAATTCTCCAAATGATTTGTGAAAGTCAGACAAAGAAAGAAGTTGCACTAAAACCTTAGTAATTAAGTATTTAGTTGAGAACAAATAAACTCTTGGAAATAAATTAATTTAACTTTTAAATAAATATATAACTTACATATTCAACTATATGCAGTTAACAAAGATTTGAATAAAGTAAATTCAAAACAAAAATCTAGTTACATCTGTTGTATTACGGAATTTTTAATACCATGAAGAGGGTATATTAAGTTTGCTACAAATGATTGGCATAATAAGCTAAGTTGGTGTAACCAAGTGTGTCTGTCTGTATATACGGGAACCAATCCCTCGGTTTTTGAGATATCAAGCTCAAATTTTGCACACACCCTTTTCTCCCAAATAAGCTAATCATTTGTCAGAACTGCAATGGCATCGGACTATTATAGCATAACAAATACATGTCCTTGTTTGGAAAACTTTTTTATTTGGTGACATATCTTCACGGAATGTGGCAAGGATTATTTTCCAAACGTACAATCTCCGAAGAAATTGTTCAGATCGGACTACAATATCATATATAATATGTAGCTGCCATACAAACTGATCGATCAAAATCAAGAGAAGGGTATTATAGTGCAACCGAAGTTAACGTTTTTTGTTTTAAATTGTTTTATTTAAATCAATTTGTAGTCCCAATGTTAATACTCTGTATTTATTAAGCATATACATATGTATATATTTTTATCTAAATTAAATTACATTATCCTTTGGTTTACCGAATATCTTATTACAGTTGTTCTTATCAATGGGCTTGCTATTTTTAAATCTAAAGATCGCTGAACGAGCTTTTACGTTAACACCTCCGGTTTAGCGGGTATATTCACGAGGCTATTTGCAGGTTGTATTTGTGGGAACGCATTGTTGGTACTCGATATAGGTACATTATCCGTTTTCTCTTTCGGTTTTAAAAGAGTGCCCAAAACAATACCAAGGAATAAAATTAAACCTACTTGGTGGTTCGAGAAGAACTTCTTGGCACAGTCTGTTGGATTATCAATGTTTAGCGAATATATCTAAAATAAAAAAAACAACAAATTATTGTTAAAATAGTTACATATAGCAACCAACTATGAGATTACCTGTTGTATTAAGTGAGCGCCCACCACACCGACTGCAGCATAGTATGCAACTGTTTGTTCGGTAGCTACACCAGCAAGTGATAGTCCTGAGAGCATAGCTGCTGTAAATCCAGATAGCCATATTTTAGTGTTCTCTCCAAATCGTAAAGCAGTTGATTTCACGCCAATTTGAATATCGTCGAATTTGTCTTGATGTGCGTATATAGTATCATATACAATTGTCCAACAAATACCGGATAGGTACAATGGTAAACAAGCTTCCCAGTTAACAACGCCTTGAGTCGCACACCAACCTAAAAGAGCGCCCCAATTGAAGGCCATGCCAAGCACTAGTTGAGGCCAGTACGTTACTCGTTTCATTAATGGATATGTTATGACTAATCCCAATGAACTTGCTCCTAATACTATTGATTGCCAGTTTAGTTGAAGTAATACTAACAGTCCCAAACTCAGTTGAGCTGATAGAAATACAATAGCATCAAATTGTGTTACTTCACCAGAAGCTAATGGGCGAGTGCGCGTACGTTCCACTTTTGCATCAATATCTTTGTCCCACAGATCATTGATGGTACAGCCGGCACCGCGCATTATCAGCGCTCCAGTGGCAAAAAGGCCTAACATTTTCCAATCAGGCCAACAACCGGCATTCGCACTGAGCGCTATACTCCACGCACAGGGCCAAAATAACAAGTATGTTCCTGCATGATAACATTGAAAATCTTTGCAATTATGTTCACATATAAGAAAAGAAGTGTTACACACCTATTGGCCGATCCAAACGCATTAAACGGCAATATGGTGAGAGAGCTTCCTTTATGCTTTTCTTCAACTCGTTTGATTTACTAACATTACTATCAGGCGCATAGGTGGAGGAGATCCCCTGTGCGGCGGATGCCTTGGGCAACTGGCTCTTGTCTTTATTACTTGCATATCTCTTTGTGGTCGCGTTTAGAGAACTTCTTGAAATTTGGTTATCTATTTTAAAATATATGTTACGGTTACGTTGAGTATTGACAAAGAGTTGTGAAGGCGCTTTCGTGAAATAGCTGCAACCACTAACACTAGTATGCAATTTTTTGATATTTAAAATGCACATCCTTTCATCCAAGCACATTTGTTGTGCCGTGTAGATAACTGTTTGAAATCTTACACCTTTTTGGATATATTGTATATTACGTAGCACTGACATGTTGACTTGTTGAGGCGGGTATTAGAACTGCAAATATTTAAGAGTTAATTTCCGGTTTGAATTAGAAATTTGACTTTGATTAAATAACCTCTCATAGAATGGCAAGATTTAGTTAAAATGCAACTTGACCCCTATCTTCTTTTCGTTTTTTTGTTTTTTTTGTACTTTTTATAGCTTTAGTAATATTAAAACTTGATTATAATCGCTTGCATACGCTCTCTCCCACTGCTTCAGTTGACTTCGGCATTTGTTTCGTAACCTTGAATATCACTTGCATTTATTTTCAATTATAGCATAGAGTTACATGAAATTGATCCAACTTTTCAATCACAGTTACCCGTTTTGCTGTCGATGGTTTTTATGAGATCTTTTAGAAAAATAAGTTTGTTTTATTTTAATTAACCACATTCTAGTGTGAAAATAACACACAAAAACATACGACCGCCAGCATGCTTTTGACACTTTGCCTAATCACATTTCTTAGGGTTGGTTCAGGTATTGCCAACGTTTACGAATATCAAATAGGAAATTAATTATACAATTCAATAAATTATTCTAGGTACTTCTGGGCTCGTTAGAAACGTTACCGAAAAGCGAATGAGATGCGGCTGGATGACTGCATGTTTAAGGGTAAATTAAAAAATATTAAAATTACTTATTTCTACATATAATATATAAAAATGGCTTGCCCAATAATACCTAGTAGGGGAAGAATTAGGCCGCCATGGTGGTCTCCCGAACTTAAAAAATTACAGAAATTCTGCAGGAAGCAGTTTAATTTAGCTAAACTATCCCAAGGCAAGGGAGATTGGCATAGTTATTACAACCTTCTAAGGTCCTAGCAAAAAGACATTATTGGATAACTTTTTGCAATGATTAGAGAATACGGCGGAAGCGTATCGAATTAGAAAAATAATGACACAATCGGTGCATAGCATTGGATACCTTCAGAAGCTAGGCCACAGCTGAACGGTATCCAATGAAGATGCTCGGAAAACTTCCCATGGGAATAGAGAGTTTGGTACGTGGTCCTGTGCCTCCTGCACCAATTCCCTGTGATGTTTTCAAGCCGTCTGTGTACAATTTGATTGTGCTTTCCCTTGGCAGTACATATTCTAAAGGAAAATCCACAGAAACAGCACTATGCTCAGTGGTAGCAGAGATTGAAAAATCTCTGGTAGTTAAAGAATAACACCTAGTTGCCTTCTTAGATATAGAAGGTGTTTTCAATAACATCCAGCCTAGCGCGCTTCCAGATTTGGGCATCTCTGAATCTCTTAGAAAATTAATTGAACAGATCAGGTCAATAATCTGGAAGATTCAGCTATGTGCAGATCTGTCCTAAGGGGTACACCTCAAGTAGTTGTATATTGTGGCAGTTTCAGTTAGAGGTAAATTTCCGAATACCTCGCTAACCTTATGCAAACAATATTAAATGACATAAATCGTTTAGATGTGCGGACTAAACTTAAATGTTAGCAAGACGGAGCTAGTATTGTTCACTAGCAAAACAGTACTCCAGAAGTTATGTCGCCATTATTAAATGGTCCCAGGCTAACTATTGGAGATAAGGCAAGCTACTTCGGACGAATTTTAGGCAGGAAGCTTTTATGAAAACTAAACTTAGAAGCAGCTACAGAACTTTACACCTACATTAACGCCTCGCAGTAGTTTTTAGACCGATTATGACATACAGTATATTGGTATGGTGGCCAATAAAGGAAAAGAAATACGTGGTGAGGCGTATGGAAAAATAAGAAAAAGAGAGAATTTTTTTTCCTCTGAAGTCTGCGTCATCAGACAGCCACTCTATCTACCTAACTAGTTCTATATATTAAACCAAATATTTAAGGTATTTCGAACATAGAAACTAAAGACTCAATCAAAATGCCGGATGAGATGCTGGCGGTTGGCTGAATGTATATAGTAAATTGTTTAAATGAAAAAGATAGATGTTGTTGTTGTTGTGCACAAAACGTTCCCTGGCACTTGTATATACAAATGTTCTATCCGGTGGTCGTTTGAGGCGTTAATTCAAATGTATCAATGATCGACATAAGACGTTGAAACCAAAATAAATCAACATATAATAACCAAGTTTTGGGTTTTCTGTCATCAGTTCCAGTTTTACTTCATTAATTTACATTTTTTTAACTTATTAATATCATCATACCATCATAGTTATTAATTCGCTTTCTATATATGTAACTTAGCAGCGAGTTATACGACAATGAGATTAGGTCTCTACCAGATAAAGTTTGTCACTAATTTTTGTTGATGCTTATTGCGTGTACGTTGCTTTCAACAAGTTGACAACTATTAACTTCGTAATAATTATGGAAAAGTCATAGGCCACATTAGAACTTTTAAGAATTCATGCAAATAACCCGATCCACAAACCCAGTCAAACGGTTCACGACATAAGCTTTACCACATTTCCAAGCGAAAAGAAGTTAACTTCTTGAGAATAAACCTCTTTGTGCACGTTACCAATTGTTTTGTACTGCCAATTGTTTTGCACACGTCCACCCAAATGGTCAGTTTACTACTATAACCAAAATGAGTGTCACAAGTGGCCCTATCAAATCCATCGATACATTCATTGTACACACAAAAGTCGTAAGACTAACGTGTACACGGAGTGAAGAATTGATTACAACAATAAATTAATGGTTGTTATTGCCTATATAAATTAATAGAATGTTTGCACTTTTTTCTTCATACTCTACGTAATAAATATATTAATACATGAATGCTTAAAATAATTTGATTAATGAGTTTTTAGTAGTGTAGGAGATGGATTACTTGAAGACTTTTGGGGTATTATTTTTTTTTAAGAAACGAAGAGACAAATTCAATAAAGGCGTTATTTTTAAAAATTTTTATAATTAATTTTAATAATTAAATTAACTAATATTTTTAAATAAAATAATTATATAAAGATATTACATTAATAATTAATTAAATTTTTTAATTAAATGACTAAAATCTGTTCAAAATTTGGTATTGCATTTATCTCTTAACCCTTATGTTAGTACAAGGGTACCCACCACGGTGTATTTGTGTGAATAGCTTAAAAAATATTCAATATTTCATTTTAAGCTCTCAAATCGTCGTTTTTTAACTTAAAAGAAAGCTATTTGTGAATTCATTTTTTAAATTTTGTTTTTATCTTTAAATTGTCACTGACTATTAATATTTGAAGGAAGATTTTTTTTAATAAAATAAACAAAATAATAATAATACTCAGATCGTACCCAGGCACTCGGTTGCTAAAAGACGTCGGTAAAGTTGGTTACTAACATAAGGGTTAATGCAACCGCTTATCATTCTTATCGTGGAATGACTTTTCAACAGAAGGCAGAAGTGTCTTTCTATTTGTAACACTGTCTTACAAATGTAACATTTATTATGCGCTCATCCGTGTATGTATATATACGTATGTGTATGTGTAAGTGTTTTAATGCAATTACAACAATAGCGCAAAACGATCGGCTACTCGTCTCTTTTTGTACTCTTTTGCTCTGCTAAATTCATACAACCGACTCCCAACCACCCCGTAGACATTGTTGTTGTTGTGCGAGTATCTGTTATCTATGGGCGTAAATATTTATTCTCGTTCGCTCGTTCGGATTTATTTGTTGAAACGTTTTTCCTTAAAAAAGCCCAAACTAGCTATATTGCAAACCAGTACAGGTCTTACTCTCGCTTTGTGTGTGCGTCTAGCTAGCTAGCAGACAAATCGTCCGGTGAACGACGAAGATTAGTGACCACAGTAGTGACTACGGTGCTTAAAGCGACGACACTCGGCGTCATTATTACTGTAGCTTTGATTACGTGCTCTCGTTCTGCAAAGTTGTACCGCGATAATTTCCTTACTAACTAAATAATATTAATAATAACAAAAACATTATAAATTATTTATCAAAATGGATATGGATACGCATGGTAATGATAGCACGGCGACGACAGATTTTTGTCCAATGATCATGGTGGTAAGTTTATTAGTTAATAATACAAATTACAAGCATGCATACATATCTGAAAATATATATACCTACATAAACATCTATGCTAATTTATTTATGTATATGCATTTATGTTAGGGCGGTTAAAGCTGAGCTTTTAGTTGGTTTTGAGTACGCTTACTATTGCCTTACTATCTCCTCTCCACATTTTGCTTATCAAAATCAAAGTTTGTCTCTTTATTTATATAAATCGCTAGTTTCAACATTGATACGCTCTCATAACAACGTACATACATATGTACGAGTATATATTGTTGAGAATATTAACGAAAAGGGAAATCATTCATTGTAATAAGTTTTATTTAACGCCTGAATTAACTATGAAGTATATGTCTGTGTATTAGATAACGTACAGCAGGTGACTATCTGCATACATATATACAAGTAGTACATACACACACCTAGGATAAGGTCATATTACAAGAAAAAAGGGAATAAGTAAATTACTTTTGCCTTGATTGAATATTTTGTAACAATTAACAAAATTGATCCTCTATATATTAGAATTCATCAATGAAATCAAAACTTCACTTTCATGCAAGAAAACATAATGAAAAAGAAATAAATAATTGGTAAATGCTTGACAAACTATGGAGTCTGACCGGTTTTAAGCTACTTAAAAAGTTTCGGAAGCTTTTTCATACCTGAAATCCACTCGATGGTTTGGTTGTATTCCCTAAGTACAAAATTTAAATGCTTTAGCTCATAAATTAACTTCTTAGATATGCAGCGGCACGAAAATTAATATAAAACAACAAATAATATGAATGTGTGCTTAGAGAGGTGGATATTTTCAAGGAAACCAATTAGATAAGTTATAAGCTAACCTAATTGATAGTTTGATGTTTTAAAATTTCTATGTAAGCATAGGCTTAAAAAATGAAAATAAACTGAGTACTTCTAAAGCTGTAAAATTGAAATGTTTTCAGTCTATAATATTTTATGGTAATATACAATACAATGTTAAACTTGTATTGTATTATATTATAATATTTTATTGGGGCAAAACAAACATTTGTTTTCAAAAATAAGCCATTTTGGGAATTAAAAACAACTACTGTTTTAATTGTTTTACAATTTTAAGAGCATATTTATACATATATTAAAAATACACAGTAAAATGTTTGAAGATTAATTTTTTTTCAAGTTACACACAATCTTCGATGGCAGTTAAAAGGTCCTCCACGATTGCAGTGCTTCCGGCTTTTTACGTGGATGAAACTTGAAAAACAAAAAAATTGTTACTAAAAGATATTGTTTGTACGAAGACTCGCGGTCATTAAAAAAGAAAAATTCAAAAATCGACAAAATGGCGACGTTATTAAAAAATGTAAATTTTACCCAAAATTTTTTGAATTTTTGGCCTGTCAAAATCAGACTTTTTCATCATTATTATTATGGAGAACTATTTATAGAATATGCAATAAAAAAAATTTAATAGGATTTGAAAAGTTAGGGTCTGTATGATAAATCGATTTTTATTTTAGTGGGTCATTTTTAAAGGTATAATCTATTAAATCGATATTTGTTCACACTATGTGTGTCCCTTAAAGTAACATACATATATACATATGTCTTTTTCCAATGCTGTGCGTAAAACTACTGTTTTTAAATATGCAATTGAAAAACACTTTGAATCTAATTTAACTAGTTATATTATTAAGACCTATTACTACTTTTTTGGGTTCATATATATAAGCACTCCCATTAATTCAGATGATAAACAAATACATTCCATTTCTAACGTTGTAATCGTGATAACGGTTTGTATTAAGACTTATTAATGCTTTTTTGAGTTCATATACATAAGCAAATTTTCAATTTCATTCATTTAGATTATAAATAAATACCATACATTCCATTTCTATCGGTCTGGTGAGCTGCTCAGATTTCGTTTTCGGAATTTCTGTTTTAATAAGAAAAAATACGAATTGTCGAGCATTTATCTTATTTGTTTGACAAATAGTTTATATTTCTTTCAATTTTGGCAAGGTTTTGAACGAGGTTTAACATATTACCCGGTTATGAAATATTATTAGAATATAGAAGGTCGATGCGCAAGACGCCTACAATATGGCTTATCCTTCTTATTTTAATATAATTTATTTGTCTTACTCTAACAACTAAAATAAAAAGAAGTTTTTGTAAACTAAAAATAAAATTAAAACTAAAGGCTATTGGCTATTTTTTTTAACTGATCCACTTCTTTTGAATAGTAACACGAATTGCTAGAAAAAACTTAAATAGTTATTCTGCAGGTTAAAAAATGATTGAGAGCATAAAACAATGTGCATTTTAAACGAACTGTCAAAATTTATGTTACTATTCAATAATTACCGGGATATGAGAATTAGTTGAAAATGAGCTAGCGGACGACCCCATTCGTTTACCAACGAGAGTTAACCCAATAGAGCCAAAACTATTCTTCCCAGTGGGAATCCTTTAATAAAATAAATTCATAAAATAATAGATCCGCCATTTTAAGCTTAGTGAGTGCCCATCTCATGTAGTGTAGGTATAGGGACCCCATCGCACATAGACTCAGGTCTGGCCAAATACATATAGGTATCTGCCCATGGGCTCTTAGACTATGATGCCATAACTTTCTTTGCTGACCGTTGTGACTTCACCTACTTTGGACCTGTACAACTAGCTTCAGTCCACTGTAAACGTTATTGTTTCAATTTACGATCATGGTGGTAGATTCAAGTCTCTAGTCAAGTTTAGTTTTTGTTGAGTTGTTAACGTGTGCGGCACTTACTTTCCAAACAGCTTTTTCATATTTAATTCTCCATGTAAATATGAAGTACTCGTTCGTCTGGGATGCCTATGTCATTATCAATTTTAAGCTTAGTCAAACTTGGATCTTCACTAACAATCTTATGAACTTGCTCAATGATTTCTGGTGTGGTTGCGGTTTTTGGTCGTCCTTTGCGTGAATCGTCTTCAAGCCTAGTACGACCACGTTTAAATTCACCAGCCCAGAATTCAACGGTGCATTTTGAAGGTGAGGACACTCCTTATACACTTCTTACCATTTTTCATAAATTTCCTTTGCTTTTAAACTTTTCAGAACAAAGTTGACACGTCAACTTCAAATGGCTTGTAAACAAAGAATTAATTGACAGAATGACTTGTCACTTTGGATGTGTTCTCTGGACGGATGTACCAACTTGGAAAAAAAATTTGGTGTTATTAGTGCTATTTCTTAATGAGAGAAGAAACTTTTCAACCTAATTGTATGTATATATACACATATACGCCATTGTATACTTACGAGGCGCATGCACAATATGTCTTTAATCTCATCAGATTGTTGTCGCTTCTGAGAAAGGTAGACAAAAACTTGGGATTATTATTTAAATTTTATTAAATTTCGAAAAATATTGGAATAGGTGTAATTATCGTAATATTAAAATTATTAATCTTTAAACTAAGAGATCATAGCTGCTATAGCTTCTATTTATAATTTTATTTTGGGTAAATCGGTTTTTAAGAATATTAGTCTCAATGCTTACTAATATTCTTATATATATATATTTCGGTAATTCTGTAGAGCAAATAAGCCATGGCTCCTAACATCATACTAAATCTCAGCTGGTATTTGGTATTTCAGGCGTATTCTTTATCGCCTAGGTTTATAGTAGCCTTAGTTTAATAATTCTCGATCGTAAGTGGTGCGTGGCAACTTAAAGATCAGTATTAAAATTTGATATTTGCTGGACTGTTAATTATTTTTAGGTTCAAGAGCTTTGCACAGTTTTTTTTAGAAGTTAGTACTTAGGTAGATCTACGAGTAAACATTAACTGGTGTCGGCAAAGAGGTTAATAATTCAAATTTCATAGGCTTAATGTTAAAAATATGGGAAATATGGTATTTTGTATATTTTTTCGAAATACTTGTAAGTACTTATTGCTTATTAGCCGGTGGTATATTGGTTAATCCCAACATCCTGCCTCACCCATCTCCTTCATATTGTGTATACTTACATATCCACCAACTATGTAGTACATGAAATAATTAGAACGGTCTTTATCCACTTTAAACCACTAATTTCCACAATGTTTCTCTTATCTAAACTTCTTAGTTCCATGGCGGACATTGTGAGCGCATACTTTGGAGCGGTTGGGTAGCCAGTACATACGTAGAATTCATATTATCTTGTTTAGCAATTGTTGTGATGAGTTTTCTCTATGAGGCGTTGAAATTTTTGCGCCAACAACTTATCAAACGTGCTGTCCGGAAAGAAGCTGAACGTATCAATTTGGAATTGGAGTCAAAACAGATTACTAGTAGCACTTCTGGGTCGATTGGACGTAATTCCAGAGAAGCTTTAGCTGACATACGTGTAACAAAAGCAAATTATATCCAGTATCCAATGACATCGACACACATCATTACGTCACTACTATTTTTCATACAAGTCGCTCTCTCTTATTTGTTGATGTTGGTTTTCATGAATTATAACTACTGGTTATGTCTATCAGTTGTTGTCGGTTTAGGTTTCGGTTATTTCATTTTCGGTTGGTCTCAACACGATGCTTATGATAATGAATGTTGTCATTAAATAATAAACATTTATTCAGTATTATTGTAATTAAGTGTGAGTTTTCGCAAAAAATTATCTGTATAGTTTGTGAAAACATTTTTTTGTGCACAATTAGATTAAAAACAAGATTTTAAATATTCTATATAATATTTCTACCATACTAACATATTTTTGTATATAGTATGCATATATTTTTACTACAAATAATATCAGAAAATTCAAATGAAATTTTAAAACGTGCTTTTATTTTCTCGAAGAGTGTAGAAATTAATTAATACAAGTAATCGAAAATAATGAATAATCGAATATAGTCACCTACCGATTTCTATGCTGAAGATAGTATTATATAGGTGAGATCTAACACCCTTTCGAAATTGTATATGCAAATTTTGTAAACAATTATTTTTATTAACCCTACAACAAATACTCATCTTTCTATTAGTTATTCAGTGAAGAAACGTTAAAATGCTTATCTGTTCGCATTTAAATATTTTTATCTGAAATATCTTTACACAGCTTTAATATTCAAATAAACTAATATAAATATCAGAAAAGAGTTTATTCTATACTCTGCATGTGTGCTATGGATTTCTTTTGCGTTTTTAGATATATTTAAGACATAAACTTAGACCTGGATCTATAGCAAAAACTGTCATTATCTTTCTAAAAAAAAAACTATTATAATGCAGAGATGGATTTAAAGAACCGGCTCGACTCGTGGGACTAATTTTAGCGACCAGGTTTTAGTTCAGACTGTTCTTAAAAATGTTGATGTGGGACTTTAGAATTTTTATTTTCTGATAGTTGTGATATTAAGTGAATAACTATTGATCATTCTTAGAATATGTTTCAGAAATCTGCTATGAAATTGAATCATTATTATTAATAATATAATAAAATGCGTATAAAAAATGTGTATGTTTTTAATTATAATAAATTGAACGTTTTTTTTTTTACTAAAATTCAAACAAATAAAAGGGAGTTTCTATATTAATAGTAAGAATAGAAAAAGTCTATCGTGAATTAAAGTGGTAGTCGTTGGGTATGTGGCAGTATTTCTGGTTGTGACCTGCTATATCAAGTTGAAACTTTGTATTATATGTACTCGTACATATCGGTATATAAATATTATATATTAAGCAAAACGAACCGCCTCGGCAGATACCATCAAACTGGTTGTCAGCTGCGTATATGTATAAAGTTAAAATTTATCGTTTAACATTAAAATTGGAATATCTATTAGCAAAATTATTATCACAATACAATGTGCAAAAACTTTTAAATACACAACAATTTTTATGAGTTTAAGCTGAACATTTATTCTTATTTCAGTGCAATTGTTTTGCAGTATGAACTATTTGCGCTAGTTTCTCTATAGTGAATAATTGAATAACAAATTCTTTTGCATTTTCTTTAATTTATTTCAATCTTATGTGTATGTATGTAAATATATATATTGGCACTTTTGCCTCATTGTGTTTGTTTTTTTGTCTAATCTTCCAAAAATACCGACAAGTGTTTTTTGTGGTTTCAAGCTGTTATCTAACGTACAAAGACATATATCTGCGAACCTGTGCTAAATTAGTTTTGCAATTGAGTTTTTAAAATCACCCGAGTTAGTGAATAATTTTGGGGATATATTGCTTTACTTTTTTGACATAATTTAAAGAAGGAAATATTGCTGACACAAATTTCAGTTGTTATCAGTACCTATAAATATTTGGACTTTTTTCTTGAATAATTTGTTTTTTTATTATAACTATAAATTTTTTAATTATAAACGACAATGTCCAGCTGCGCTTTTCAAAATCTTTATTAATTTTCTCACTTTCAATAAACTCCGTCTTGTATTTTTTTATATCTCTGGTAAGTTTTACACCCCAAACAAGTCGATCCATCCTAATTTAGGTACATAAAAACCAAAATAATAGACATACATATCTACGTACATAAGTACAAAAAATTTCATGTTATGCTGTTATCTTGTGTACTTTCGCCACCTATCTCATTAAATAATTATTACACATGTGACACATGTCTCTCATTAGTATAATTATTAATAATTAATTAACTGTTATGTACACGCTGGTGTCAGCGGCAAATATTTTGATTTGTAATGGAAGTGGAATGCGACTATGATTTTAACTAATTATTTTCTTAAATAATAATTCAAATCATAAATATGTAAGTGAATCTAAAATGCAATTATTAATAAAATCGAAGTAAAACCATTACATGGTAATTACTTTGTATTGAAAGCTCCTTCTTTGGCAAATATTATAACTTAATGTAATGTAGTTCTGCAATCAATTACATATGAGGTGACCCAAGAGCTTTTACAATTCGTTATTCGAATTCAAATGTTAGTGCTTTAAGTGGTCTATGGTTGAACAAGTCTCTTGGTATATGTCCCAAGCGGACAGACAAACCACTCTCAAAAGTTGTTATTTACAGCAGCATGTCTTAGGATAAATGTCAACTATTCGCTCGAAAAGAGAAAAATATCAAAAAACAAGAATTCACAATCTTTTTTGAACAGCTAATTGTTCATATTAATATTTTATTTTTTTCTGGCTTCATTCCGAATTCAACTCGTATTTTCTAAAAGAACTACTTTTAATATATTTAATTTGTTAATATTACTTCTTTACACCCATAACCAGTTTCGCCAAATCTCTAAAAATTTTGACCAGATGTGTTTATTGCTGTCAAAAATTCGTTTTTTGAAACTGTCAGCCTTTCTTGTTCTATGACTTACTAAACGTAATTAAGTTGGGACATCACAAACGAACCCTCCTTTTAATATACATACATATATGTTACTATATTCTAACACCAAGAAGAAAACGTCGGAGACCCTATAAAATATTATATATTCATAAATTATCTGCATGCAGAACTGAGTTGATTTAGTCATGTCCGTCTGTCTGTCACTAAGATGTTGCCCATTTGTCGGAATGGCCCATATCGGACCACTATAGCATATAACTGCCATATAAATTGAACGATCGGAATCAAGTTCTTGTAAGAAACCTTTGTATTTGTGAAGGGTATTATAGCTTCGGTGCCACCGAAGTCAACGTTTTTTCTTGTTTTTCTTATTTATTTATAATTCTTTCGGGTTTTACTTTCATTTCAGTTCCACGGTGGTCATTGCGAGCGAATATTATGGAGCCATTGGGTTACCAGTACTGTAACGGATTTTGCCCTCTCTTGTGTCGCTTGGTTTTTTATCGCCTTTCTTTACGAAGCCCTGAAATACGCACGTCAACAATTACACAAGCATGCAGCACAAAAGGGAGCGGAAAAGATGGCGATAGAGGTAGAAGCGAGACGGGCTGCACATCCACCGGGTTGCACACATGCACCAACTCCGCTGCCGGAAATTCGAGTCAAAACTTATCGAGATAATCTCTTTTCAAAACACCACATCATCCAATCGTTGCTCAATGTGGTGCAGATTATCATTTCCTACCTGCTGATGATGGTCTTCATGAACTTCAACTATTGGCTGTGGTTGTCTATGATTTTGGGCATGGGTTTCGGTTATTTCTGCTTCGGTTATATAAGGCAACAAGGTACCGGCGCTGAATGTTGCACATGAAGCTGATCCAATATATGTTTGGTTGTTTTCATTTTGAATAAAAATTGTTATGTTAAAAAGTAATGCATTTCAAACACTGCCTGTTTAAGTAGACTGTTTGAGAATAATGACTTTTACGATTAATGTTATTATATAAGCGGAATTGGCTTTAGAAAAGGGTTTTAAATTAAGAGCATATTTTATACAGAAATTTTAGTTGTAAGAGTTCAAAAATATTTTCAGTTGTATTTAAAAAAATAATTTTTAAGTCTAGAACTGTTATGTTTTTATCATAATCACGTTATTACTTGCCTATATTATTTTATAGTTAGTTCTAAACAAGTTAAAATGGAGAATGCTAAAATACTGTCGTCCTGGGTAATTTTGTTACCTTAGCTTAAAAGGTTGGACAGATGTTTTTAAATTTATATGATCGAAACCAAAAACTTTAGAAATAATTAATATCAGTACGCATTTCTTTATTTCTTAGATTTATTTACGAATCACAAATAAGCAAACATATACAATTTTTATTTAAGGATATAATTTTACTAGAGGGATAGCTGTCTAGGTAAGCATTTATACCACCCTATCATGAATAAATAAGAAACCTGTCATATTTGGAATGCGAAAAATACAGTGCTGGATATCCAGGCTACCTATAATTTATAAATAGTTAATGTGTGGGGTAGTATCACGCCAAAAGACATATTTGTCCATTTTTAAAATTGAAGATTCGAGCCAACGTTATCGTCAATAGTAACCGATCGCAATTTTTAGACTCTCCAAGTCAATATCAAAATGATTCCAGCAGGATGATGCTACAAGCCGCATAAAGCAATCACTTTAATGGAACAAACTTTTGCTGATCGAATTACATGAAAAATATGTGATTTTTCAATGAAAATTCGGTAAGTTATTGGTGAGATAAGCTACGTTTTGTCAAAAATAGTGGTGTAAGCTTTGATCGATAAGATGATTTTCTGTCACGCTTATATCCGAAGTTTCAGATCTATACTAAATCCTATACTCTTTGTTGTCTAACGTGACCCTGAGCAAGTTCTGCGAACAAATGTATTTTTCAATTCTCTATGTAAAGGTTTTAAGTTCTAAGTTAAGTGCATACGGCTTTTATGTTCAACATTTTCTACAATATTATTACTTTAAGTTCAGTATTTAGATCATTAATATTTACTATTCTGAATTAATTACATTAATTACCAGTTAGCCTTTTCCTTAAGCTAATCATAATTCGTGTTTTCATCCAGCTTATATATGTTAAGACTCTTTGAAAGCGTATCTTAATAATGTGTTGCTTTCGGGTTGTTTTCGACTTGGAAGTATAAATCTGCAGACATAACCCCATATTAGTACACCACTAAATCCACATTTAATTATTTTTCGGAAGCTATAAATCATATTTTTTTCCTTTCCTTTCCCTTAACCGAACTATTTTTTTCACTAATGATCAAGATTATTAGTTAACATCAGTTGCACCGAAGCTATGTTATAATAGCCTTCACAAATTCATGCGAAATTTCATAAAGTTATATCGTAAAATGAAAAAGCTTTCCAAACAAGCACTTTATTCCTATCGTTTAGTTTTAATGGCAACTATTGTATATCCTATAGTAATCATCATGCTGATCATTTACGTATATATTTTATAGGGTCTCTGACATTTCCTTTTGGATGTTAAAAACAACATGGCAAACTTCATATACCCTGTTCAGGGTATAATATCTGTGATATATTCGGAGGGGGTAAAAATTACCTACCGTAACTTCACTATCATTGCACAGTGTACTCGTATGCTGCAAACTATGTAGTATATATATATGTAAGTACTGAGTGATATATTTTTTGAAGGACCTTAAAATTTTCATACCGGTCTCCATATATCGAAGCTTCACAATATTAAGAATTAGTACTTATATTTTTCACAATAAACTTGCCAATTTTGTTTTTAAAGAGTAAATTTCGTTATTGTTACAACACAATTAGGCAATTCACAAGCTTCGTCTTATGTCTTATGTCGTATTTCAATAGCTTAAAATATACGACACTTGTGAGCACCCCTTAATTGTTGTATGTCATAAAATGTAATATTTCTTCACCAGCTGGTAGTGAAAAATTAAGAATACAAAAAAGGCCACGGTAAAGTGACAAAAATAACAATAAAGCTTCTTTATGTTGAAACGGCAGCATTTTGGTTCACATTGCAACCACAGAAACAACAAAATATTTTTATATTTCACTTTTATTCAACTTAATTTACCTGAATATCGTGGCTTCATTCCATATTATTAAAGAAATTGATGAAATTTATTTATTTTATTCATTTTAGACACCGTCAACAATAAGAAAAAGTAAACAGATACGCTGATAGAATACACACTCAAAAAACATGCCTCGCCGTGTTGTATTTGTCAAATTTCAATTTTTTATGGGAAACAACAACAGTGTTGATATGACAGTCATACAAAAATAAGACAATATGACGATATGACACAATATGACACCTTGTGAATACCCTAAATATTTTTCTGCAAAAAAAAAAATAGAAAAGAGATAAGCAAAATATTCGTATTAAAATTATATTGCTGCAATGTTATTTTGACAAACTAAAAAAATGGAGTTATTAAAAATAAAAATTTTATTTCGCATAATTATTAAAGTTTTATTACGCATAACTTATTATATTAAAACATTTATAAATATGTGGCAAACAACCAAATTAAATTTTCTTATTTATTCACTGGTTTTCAATTTAATTTACAGTAATCAAATAAATAATCTTAATCCATTTATGGCATGTTTTTTATTTATATATTTATAGTATATATATATATAAATACATATGTATATTCCGTTATTCATATAAAACATTAAAAAAATTTTAAATAATTTACAAAGGCACAATATGAAACAAAGATATATTAAATTTGAATAATTTAAACGTTGAGTAAAAAATTTTTGAAATCAAAGAATCATTCACGAAAATTTCGAACGATTTAAATCTCTATATTTTAATTTTATTGTAAATGCTTATTTACTTTATTTTTTAAATTATATTTCCTATAAAAATTATTATTTTTACTATTTGTGTTATTATTTCATTTTATATATCATAATAAATAGTAAACTATATAATCTAAATTATAACAAAAGATCCATACCTATGCAATGAGTAAGTTTAATATATATATATGTAAAATATAATATTATTTTATTGTGTTTTTTCAGATATAAGTTATAATGACATTTCATCAAAAGAAATTTCAAATTGCAAAATAGTTTTCCCGATATTCTTGAAGCGATCGTATTTGGTTGCGATCTTCAAAATAATTTAATATATGCAAAACATTGAAAATCAAAATAAAAAAAAATATAGACAGTTATATTGGAAGCATACACATACATGCATAATTATATCTGGGGATGTCAGCAACAGTATACATAAATTAACGAAGCTGTATATAGCATACTTTTAGGCGTAAGTTTTAGACTGATTAAAAATTGTGGCGAGTTAGTGTTAATAAAATTTGGAACCAACTGCTTATTAGCTTTTCTAATATTTTCGGCTTAAAGTTTTTTTTTATAAATCTCTAATTAACTTATGATTGGCATATCACCCATACCCTTACATATATGAATATTCACAAGTTCGTTATACAAATCCATACTATTAATTAATATATAAAAAACTAAAAACTAAATTAAAATTTATAGATGATTTATTTTTTAATCTCCTTTTAATTTATATATATTCATACAGGTTAATACGTAGTATATATTTACTTTTAATCAGCTATCATATAAAAATTTAACACTGCTAAAGATTCTTCTTCTACAACTGTTTCCTGCTTATTCTACGATTCTCATAATGCAATACTCATAACCCTGTTGCACCTGCCGCCATCATGCCGCCATGATGATGGTGATGCATACCAGTGTTTTGGAAATACATGTAATAGTTGTAGGGCTGTTGGGACGCCGCAGCCGCCGCCACAGCGACTTGTGTAGCTGCCGCCGCGCTGTTCGCCATGCCATCACAATCCTCAGCGCCCATGAGTTGTTGAGCGCCCGTGCCCATAGCACCACCCACCGGTGAAGCAGTCATCGGTAGTCCCGTGGGTAGCCCGCCCATTGTGTTGCCCACTTGACAGCTGGCGCGTAGTGCCACCGCTTGATGATGCGCTAAAATATCGCTCACAGAGTGCGATGAGGGCCAGCAATGCGCTGCAGCAGCAGCAGCCGCCGCGGTGCGCAACTGATGACTGGTTTGTGTTGACTGAGGGGGCGAAGGGCTGCCACACGATACCGCCGTTTTCATGCTGTACGCGCTGTATGGCTGATAAATGGAATTGTAGAGATGCGGATGCGCGTGAACTGCAGCGGCGGCGGCGGCATGTTGATGATGCGCCACTGTCGAGACACCTGTGCTATGCGCTGACGCATGATGATGACCGTGCGGATGTGCATGTGGATGCGCGTGATGGTGTGGTGTAGAACTTGTGCCGTTAACCACCGCCGCAGCGGCCACCGCTGAATTGTGATGATGATGCCCAATAGCGCCGAGCTTATTACGAAGTATGCGCGATATGGAACTAACGCTCGGCACATTCGTCTTATCACAGATGCCTTCGGTCAGCAGGCGATCACGTATTTCCCAAGCGAAAATACCAGGATCGCGCTGCTTCAGTTCGCGTATATAATTTACCACTTTTGGAGTGGTGACGCGCGGTTTCGAACCGCCTATAGCGCCCGGGAGAATTGAACCGGTCTCGTGGTAGCGCGCCAATATCTTGGAAACACAGCCATGACTAACACGCAACTGGCGGGAAATGTCGCAGGGTCGTATGCCAAGGCGTGCCAACTCAACAATGCGCATGCGCGTCGCATTCGGCAATGGGCGTCCGTTCACAAATACGCCGCCAAGCTGATTCACTTCGCCGTATTGCGGACACTGATTTTCTGCAATGGAAAAAGAGGCAAACAAAATGCTTTAGTAACTTAGCAAACAAATGTATTTATTCTATATATACTTTATATACATACGAATAGAGGAAAACATATGCATCGGGAAGTAGTGAAAGTGTGTGATGCAGATGGATAAGGCGCTGGTTCTGTGGCATTGTTTTTTATTTTTATTTAGATTACTTGTTCGTAGTTCATGTTGTTGTTCATTAGAAATATGCATTTATGGTTATTTGCACCGCTTTGCAGTTGTGGGATAATTAGTTCGACTTCTGCTCGAAAGGCAGGCGGCAGTTTTTTGCAGGGCTTAGTTCCGAGAATTGCGGATGTGTGTAAATTGGCCGATAATAGATTGACTTTGCCATGAAGGCACGCGTTGCTTTTGTGGAGCATGTTTGTTTGCATTTTCAAGTGTTGTTGGCCACTTCAAAACACACTATTTGTGAGTGTACTTACATACATACATGGGGTTTAGTAGTAAGCTAGGGCGAACAGATGTTCAAAAAACTTTTTTCTTCGTATTAGAAATTTATTTTCCTTTTCTACTTACAGCACTTAGTTTTTTGTTCAGCTTTTAGCAGAAAAGACGCACATACTAACCATTGAATAAGCTAGCTCAACACACATATGTATGTATGTATATATGCACATTTATCTTTATGTAACAGAAATGTGTTAATTTGGTATGGGAAGTAAGTTTTGAAAATAGATACCTTGTTTGAGAGATGTAGTGTAGAATTATATATTTATAGTCAATTATGAAAATTATTTATATACAATAATTAGGCATTTTTTAATACAATTATTAATGAATCTGTCCTCTGTAACTTCACGAAATATTTCGCCTGTTTGAATCACTAGGAATAATGATATAAAATTATTAGTATCCAAAACTATATACTTTTAAAAATAATAATTATTTTAGAAACCACACCGAGTTCGAAAATCATGACCCTTTCTTGTTTTTTTTTTTTGACCCAGTCGTGTTGGAGATATCATTAAATAAGACGTTATTCTGATTAAGTGACAGAAAGTCGTCAGTGTAATTTGACATTCGACAATTTCAAACTCTCAAGAAATTTCACGATGACAGATGCTCAATTTTAAAGCTATACAACCAAATCTCCAGACAGAGCAAACATAGAAAAGTAAAAATATGCTGACTTCATTAAATAACGTCCCATTACAGACAAAAACTACGTACAAGGAAGAGAATAAAATGGGGTCCGCATATAGTATAGTGTCAAGTATACGAAATAAAAATCAATGTTTTCACATAAGGTTTTTAAATAAATATAAAAATGAATCACAATCATGATAATTTTATTACTTGATCTTTATTACTTTAAATGATTAACCGAAAATATCCCACATATCAGTTCAATTAAACGCTATATGTGACACATCAGAAAATGCCATTTTTTATGTCAGCATGTAAACTTAGTAAACGTAACCGCTTTTTATATTTGACATTATTGATGTAATTTTATTTCGACTATTTTTTTAATTCAGCCTTTATCGGCTATTTTTGAAACGTTTTTTTTTAATCTTTTTTAGTGGCACTGCTGATGTAATGACGATTTCGGCACGAATATTTGACTTGAATTTGATGGTCCGAGGGTTGGTTCGAACATTTCTCTTCAATTCTTCTTTTTTCGAACGCCTAATGATAAATCGTGGTAAGATCTCGGTTGTTCTTTGATGGCGACGATACAAGTCTTATGAATTCATTCTATTTGAGAGCTTCTCTCAGTTCATTAGATCTTATTGTTGTCGAACTGCATGCTGCTCAACAAAATTTTATATCATAGGACAAATGTCAAATGGTGCTTGTTGGCTGCAAATTTTTTCGGCGGTGTGCATCTTTGCTTAGTATAACTTAACGTTTCGATGTCAAGCAATTCATAGTTGGAATTTTATTGAGTTGAGCATTCTAAAACATGGCCCTCCACATAAATCGGATATGATTAAACGGCACAGTCCTGATGGTATACCGGTTCGGTTCTTAAATCAATGCAATATTTAAATTACTAAATAAAGTCACAGCTTTTGAACAATAATTTGAATAATAAGTACTTATTAATTCCAAGAGTTGTCCTGACAAGCAGAAATTCAGTAATTTTTCAATAAGTGTATACCTATATACGAGAATATGGGAGGGAATATGATGGTTTACTGGGTTGAAATATTAATCAACATTATTTCAGAAGCTAAAAATAAAATAAATTAGCTTAATATTAACTTTATATGAGTGTACATGAAAGTAAAAAAATTTCATCTGAATTGAATAATTTTTTTCAAGCACTCTCATATTTATTTACGTTATAATCTATTCACTTGATAAGTGTGGCATCTCTTGTCACTTGAGCTGAAGCAATTCCCCAGAAAACTAAAATCTCTGGTCTCAGGACGCACACTTGTTGCACTGTGAACACAATAGTTAAGGCGCAAAGTACAATGTTTCTCATATTGAAAGTGAGTTGGCAAACAATTAAAGTTGTAATGCGTTGGAAGGAGCTCAAGTTACAAAAAAAAAAAAAAACAATGAAAAAGTTAAGTGCGAGTAAATACAAAACATTACAATCGCATGAGCATAACATATACACAGATATACACACATATGCTCCAATGTCGTTGCTATTGATTGCGACTTTTACGAGTGACGGACGATTGTTTGTGCTACTGTATGGTATTCATCAATACTGTAATGACCACAATAGTTAGCTATGAACCGTGACTATTGTGAAAATAGCCAATTGATGGGCCACTGTTCTGGATTATCCGACGTCTATTTGCACACTTCATGTTGCACTTTTGTACTTGTGTAAAAACATATATATAGAATTGCATTTGTTTGTGTGAACATGTAACTTGCATAAATTTCAGTTTAATTAGTGGTGATAATTTCTGAAAAATAATCAAGGTCGCATAATACTGCTTTTGGAAATGCCAATATTTTAAAAACATAAAGATTGATAATAAATGAAGGGTTGAAAATCTTTCATATGGGTGTGTCATTGCATATAAAACTTTATTATGGAAATCCCATATTAAATTAGTTATCGCTGTTTAAATATTTCTACTTAATTTGCTTATAATATATAGCAGTTTTTTTAGAATATACCTATGTACATACATACAAGTATATACATATCTATTTGCAGCTACGAATGTTCATTGATAACTGCAGCGCACAGTGTGCTGGTTTGCAATAATTGCATGTTTTAATATAAGCAACAAATTTAAAAATAAATTTAAAAAATAATATAATTATAAAAATTTGTTTTTGCATTTTCTGCGATGGTTATTGAAGTATAAATTTAGACAGCGATTTTTAAGGCGCAGTTTAGCTTTAAGGAATTATACAAATTTATTCGTCGCTTTTTAAGATAACCGAAAGAAATTTAACACAAAGATGACTTTTGATGTTCTATTGATCATTTGTCGGAATCGGAATCATTTCTCGGTATACTGCTTTTTAATAAAAAATAACAAATTTTTTCTTTTATTGAATAAATGAGAAGTTAATATTGTTTAAAATATTTTTGTTATCTTACAATACATGTAGGTTAATCAGGAATTTTTTTCATTGAAACTATAGGTTTATGGTTACTGAAATAAGAAACATAAGCTTGAGACTTGAAATCCTCTAACTATCTGAAAAATACCGCGTCAATGGTGGTCCCATATTTTGTTGTGGATTATTGTGAATCATTATTCACTTTCAAATTCAATTTTTCCGAAGCAAAAGTTGATATTTTATCAGCGAAGTTGATGTTGAAATCTCCAGCCAAGATAAGTGGAAATTTATTACAATTCATAATCCGATTGAAATACCTATTTTCAATGGTATTGTTCAAGTCAAACGAAATACGGTTTCAAAATCTGGGGAAGCTATTTACCAAATTAATAATAATGTTAATAATGTTATGACTCTGAATATTGAATAATTTATTTTTTATTAATTAAATTTTTATTAAATTCTATATTTTTATTTGCCAATAAAAAAATTGTACCTCAAATATTATTTTTTTTTAATCGCCCTGCTCTTTAATTGATTTGCACTTTGTTTATTCATATTTAAAAGACTTTATACACAAATTTTACGCGTATGGCAAAAGCTTAAAATCATAAATTGAACAACTTTCTGATATTCCTTCTGGAAGGGAAAAGTGTCAACCCTGCAAACCCGCAAACACAGAAAAAAGTGAAAAAAATGGCAGCATAGTTCTTGTCGATTTAAAATTTTGCAATTCTAAAATATTTTTTCATGGCTCGCAAAATCTGCGTCGATATATTATATATGCATGCGCATACACAAACATTTCGCATGAATCAATTAGTACACATATTTACATACATATGTTGCATATAGACAGATTTTTTTAGCACTTTACAAAAAACAAAATTCGATTGCATGTGTAACAAAATCTGTGTATGGCGTTTACATAGGCAACGAATAACGGGGTTTCCGTTGCGAGCTCAAAACTAACCGACATTCGCCTATTTGGATATTTCGAAGATGAATTCGTATTCTTACACGAAATTGCTCGAAGCGAATTGGTGGCACGTGTTTGACATATGACATTTGTTACAAATTTTCCAAAAATTAGAGTTTGTAATTTTAATGAAATCAATGTCACTGTGCCTCCTTGCGTGCGTGCAGCTGCATAAATAAGTGCATTGCAGTCAGTTAGCCACACACACACACACATATGTATACTCAAATAAATACACACTTGCAACACTGAGGCATAATAAAGACAACGTGAATGCTTTAACTCCCTTTTCTTCTGTTAGAATTTGCTAAAAAACGAAACGTTTTCAACAGTTGCACTAAATACTCCCGCATTAAAACACTTGGTAAGTATAACAACAAGCTACAACAAGGCGAATATTGTTTGCAATTACACGGCAACATATTGCTACGTACACATACTTATATATTTGACGACATAAATTATCAACCTAAAGTAATAAAACACAAAACCCATTTTTGTGAACATACAGACATACATACATGCATAGCATAGTGTAGCACAAAATTTAGCCTAAGCTACAACATTTCAAAACGCTAATGTTTACAAAACAAAAAAATGTAGATTTCGAAATTGAAAATTCCTATATAAGCTTTGGACTTGTCGCGTCCGATGCCTAAGTACTCGTATCATAGCGTCGGCTCACAAGCCTCTAAGTCATTGTAATTCCCACAGTTGTTAAGTGAAGTTTGGGTGTGGAATTGTGCGCATAATGTGTGGATTTTATAAAATTATATTCCTGCTGATTTGCACTGGTGCCATAATGGGGAGACGGGCAGAAGCCGTACCAAAGCCTGACGCCTTCACTGAGGAAAAAATTAAACTTTCAAATATCGACACGATCGCTGAAGGCAAATTGGAAAGGACCGTGAGTGTATAACCAGTTATTTAAAAACAATAATTTGACTGTTAATTTGGTGTTATTAAAATTGTAGAAACGCGGTTTTTTAGATTATCTCCTATATGGTCTCTATGAGTACTTCGATTATAGCGACGAATCTGATTCTGCAGAGGATGAGAAATACTGTGAATATTTATTTAAGTAGAGTTAATTATATTTATGTGCTATTTATTTTTTGCTTTTATTTTACAGTAATTTGCCGAAATTGTACGATTCTTATTAGCCAGTCAAATAATCAGGGGAGCCCATCAACCCTACCATCAACTATGGCGCCTGCAGCTGTACCGAACGGTAATAATGCGACAAAGCAAGACGGTTAGTATAACCTGCTTTGCACAAAACCATGCGGATATAATAGCTGGTATGTTTAAAACATAATTTAAATTATTTATTTAAAAAAAACTAATATTATAAATTTATCAAAATTAAAATTTTTATAATCAATGAATTTGAAAAATATTTTCTTAATGTAGTTAATTTTGAATAATTATATACCAACTAAATATGCTTCCAAATGACAGAAAATATTTCTTAAGCATGTGTGTACATTTATTTTACATTGTCTGCATACATAACTAATTAAATTGATGACGCTTAACACCATATATATATGGAACTAGATTTACTTAACATCATTGTAAAATTACAGTAAATAATTTAAATTAAACTGTTATTGTTTTTTGTTTAATATAGTTCCTCCCTTTTCAGGTGTTCTAATGACATAAGAATTATTAGTTCATACTTATGAAAAATCTGTTTAAGCTGGGTTGACTACAGACAGTCCTTGAGGAACTTTTGGAAATTCACTTATAACTTTAAGTATTGTACATATCAACATTAATAATATGTGTCGATATTATAAGGTTAAATAAAAACTGAAAAATAGCACTTTTACAAATGTAATATAGGCACCTTTTAATAGATTTACATTTACCTTAATCTGTGTTTGTTATATATATTTATTATAAAAAGAGGATGTGGTAAAATTATACTACAAGTGTATATTGTAGTTTTCTTATGGTTGCGCCTCCTATTTGTGGTATGCATTTTACTGTAACCTGGAAAACAGGAGGATTTCACGCGAACTTTTTTATGGAATAAGTAACAGAAACATAGAAAAAATTTAAATTGGAAAATTGACCTTATACATTCTCGGCAATTGCAGGCAGGTGTCATCCAACGCAGCCCGGTGTATTTCCCCATGTATTCCCTTATGGTGGACTGCTTTATATGCAACCTCAGAAGGAGGTGAATATGGAAATACAATATCCGTTGCTAGTGAGGTACCTGGCGGCAGGATAAAGCGCTAGTGGTAGAGACCAGCAAATTCAAAACTCTGCTTGTGGAACAACGAAGATATGAAGGGGGCTGAGATATAAGTTCAAATGTCCATGGGAGACGAGGTTGCTATCACCGGCGGACACAGCGATTTGATACACCTCCACTGCAACGGGAGCAGATTGTGGTGGTTGTAGTACTACCGTCAAGCCAGCTCTTCAGCTCTTATAAAATAAGTAAACGCTGGTTCATAAATTTAAAACAGATTTAAATCGAGTTTTCTAAACACCCACTAGAACTAGTAAAAACGTCAAAATAATGTTTTCGGTGCCGATATGATGATTGCAATGACCCCATTTTTAAGTTTTTAGTTCCGGAAATACAAGTATTCCTCATATGGAACCATTACATTTTAGAAGTTTTCGGCCCGATTTCAATGAGCTTTGATAATAATTATAAAGTTTCGTTCAAAAGTTTTGTTACTTCTTAATTTAGGAAATTCAAATATAGTAAATCCTTTTTGTCACTCGTACCAATAATACTTCATAAAATAACAAATTTTACTTTTTTATGAGTGGAAAATTATCTAAGGATCTAATTTCCATAGTTATTTTCGATATTTCTACTAGTCTAAGTTATATACTAATTACACATATTTAAATGACTTATTTTCTCTCCACTATTATATTGAACTCATATTACAATTCTAAAGAATATTATTTGCCATTTTTCTCAATATGCAAATTAAAATTTTTTAAATGCTTACTCTTTATATTTCAGGAACTCGCTCCCAAGTATTACTTAATTAAATGGCGCTAAAGGCAAAGATCCCCCAAAGAATGATGCATTAATTCAAAACATCTTGACAACACGGTGGTTCGACTACTCAAACACATTTTTCTGTTCGTAAAATAAGAAAAAATTTGTTAGCGCTACACCAGGAAATGAAATGCCCTTAGTTCATAAATGAAAATTATTCGCAAAGTTTACCATTTAAGCGTCTGAAAACAGATGTGTTGCAAAATAAGTAACCTCAGAAGTTAGATCAGCTCGTATAGGTTTGACATTGACATATGTATAAACAATATGACAGTATATAACTAGCCACCCGTTATATTTGAAAAAGTTAGTTAGAAAGGTTTAGATGAACCAAACTATGTTTCATTAATCTTATATATAGTAGTTTAATCACAAATATCGTTAAATCGTTTTAGATCTATAGGGTTAATGGTAAAAATGTGTAGGGTATTTCATTCATGACATTCGTCGAAAGATATTTGTTAGCTTGCAAAATGAAGACGGACAAATGTGTTGCACATTTAAGTGACGTCGCACGAAATGTAAAGTGATTGCGAGTAGTAACAGGAAAACACAAGTTGACATTCTGTTTGACATTTGTAATCTTTCGATCGTTAATTATTTTCGAATTGTGAGAGAGCACCACACAGGAGCGGTTTTTGGAACGAAAACAATAACAACACACACGTTTGTGACACTTTTCGCCATTCACTAGAGTCTGGCAAGGGCGTACTCGACTCCCGTCTGCACAAGTGGTTCAAATGTACATGGGTGTGCAAATATGTAAACATATTTTTAGATATGTCACACATTTATCGCTTACAGCCTTGTACACATTATTGGATATTGTTTTAATGGTCGCATACTTTGTGAATTTTTATAATAGTATATATATGTATATAGATTATTCGTTTATTGTTACTTATATTCCCGAAAATGCTAAATGATATGCTTATGGAATTCAATACATCGATATGAAGTAGAAATTTGGTTATTTTATCTGTACCAGTAATCGATCCACGTCTGTAGCAATGCAAGTACTATATTTATTCTGTCTATTTTTCAAGGCAAGTGAAACATGCTTGGCACGCACGCTTTACAATAGCAACAATTTGTAAAAATTTGTTAAGAACATTCTTCATTTTGCATCGTTTCAGTGAGTGTTTGACTCCTTGGTAAAATGTCAATAAATTAGCCTTTATTTGATTTCGCCGCTCGAATACCTTTTGTGGACTGTTTAACAAGATTATATACATATATAAATTTTAGTGTTTTTGCAGGTGTAGATTTGCATTAATAATAGTACTGCGCACAAATGGTAGCCGAATAAGTATAGTATATAAAATATTTAAAAGGGGTTAACCAACGTCGGTCATTCCTCCGCTATTAGAGAAAAAAAGGCGTTTTATTACTTCTTTTAGCTCGATACAATTGACTCAGCAATTTGCCCCCTCTTTTAACTAATCTGGAAAGTAGGTTTATTGGAAGTCACGGCAATCAGCTAGTATTTAATTTAGGATTTAACTCATCTGGCCTTTTGTGATTCCTACTACCTCTCGTGCCAACTTTAATCGGCTTTCTGACAATACTAGATTGTGGTCTTTTGTCACTTTATACTCCGTTATAACCGTTTTCGAGGCATTTCGGAGTGCCTCATCAAAAGCCGACCGAAAACTCGTCAAATCAATCGACGAAGCAGAGTCACCGTATGCAGCATACAAGCGTTTTTTATTTTACTTCGCTATCCCCCTTCCAATATTCTTCCTTTTAATTTTTTCCGCACGCATCAAAGTAAAAATACAAATCCGTTTCGGCTTAAATTTTGACATAATGCTAGTGGCATCATCAAACGGCAATTCAAAATTCTTTTTAAATTGCCTTCGTGTAGGACCTCTGCCATCTTGTAAAAAATGTGCATGAGAAATCAACCAATAAGTTACCGAGTTCAATTCCACGACAAAGATTACTTTAAACGAAATGAGCAAAGAGTATATCAGAATGAAAGCTTTATTTTGCGAGCTTCTCTCCAATAAAAATGGCGACTGGTGCTTGGCAGAGCCAAAATGATGAGAGTTGCCCAACAATTTGCTTCGCTTTGCTTCGTTTCGATTCGATGTGAACGAATTCCATCGAACTTATCTGTCAAAGCAATGTCCCTTAATTATTCAATTGACACTCTCCAAGATTCGCCAACTAAGGTTTTATCTCTGCTTAATCCTATGAACCGTTTGAACAGGGTATGTTAAGTTTGCCACGAAGTGCGTAATACACAGAAGGAAATGACGAAGACCGTATATAGTTTATACATATAATATATAGTAAATGATCAGCGTTAGGAGCTGAGTCGATGTGGCCATGTTCGTCTGTTTACATAGATGTACGCGTACTAGTCTCTAAGTTTTTGAGATATTGATTTGAAATTTTGCACACCTTCTTTTCTCTTCGAGAAATTGCTCCAATAGAGTCGCCGATATCGGATCTCATATAGCCACCACAAAAACAAAGTTCTGGTATGGAAAACTTATTTGAAAAGCTATCTTGACGAAATTAGGCATAGATTACTCTGCAAGGCAACGTTACAATCTCCGACGTGTATTGTTTAAATCGAACTACTATAGTATAAGCTGCCATACAAGCTGACCGATCCAAGTTTACATAAAGATGTTTTTATACTCTTTTATGCTACAAAAAAGCGCCTGCATTCGATATTACAGTTTGGGTGCAGCCGAAACAAACGTTTTTTTCCTGTTTTTCTATTATTTAGTATTATTTTTGAACGATACACATCAAATCATTCTATTTTGTAGTTAAACTACTGTCATACATCTGCCCAATAGTACAATTGAAGTTTATTATATAACGATATGTTATATTGTTATGAAACAACCGCATATCTGCACATGTATTTGTAAATTTTAGAGTCTGCGGTACAGGAAGTGCTTATGTTTGCAGAAGAGACTAAAATTTCAGATTACAAATCAAATATGTGGCTCCTAAGCTATTTGTAGAAAATTTGTAAATCTGATTTGAATAAAGCAAAATGTCAAAATATCCAAATCTGTCGGTTAATGAGGTTCGAAATGCATTTTGTAAGTACCACCGTGGCGACATTCAATCCATAAATTTGTTTAGGTGCACTTCTGCAGCAAATTTGTAAATTCGTAAATAAATATTTATGCACAAATGGGCTGCTATTCGGTAGCAAATCTATTCCGCAAATATTTGAGGGAAAATCCCTAAATTATATATACTATAATCAGGTAAATATAAACATAAATTAAAAAATTAGAATGTATGGAAATATATTTTGAGAGAGTACTTTAAGCCATTAGTTGGAAGGTTTTAATCCAACATATTAGTATCATATTAAGACTTCACTTAAGATTTTTTGAATGAAAATGCACGATTCAAGAAATCTTCAAGTGAAGTCTTAATCCTGTGAACAGTTCATCCACTCTTTCATACCTATACACATTCATAAATATATAAGTAGATATAGATAGATAGGTGTGTGCATTTATTGGTATAACCCTTTTAAAGGCTTCGCATTGCGTGCGCAAACAAATCCATTACTACTGCAGTTGTATTTGTGGAACTCGACATCATTCCGGTAGTCCGTTAAACATTTCCAATGTAAACAATCGCGGCTACTTAAAGTAAATATAAACCCGCCTTCTTGTCTCTTTACATAGGCTGACTTGCAGTCGGTTCAAAGTGGCTTCCGTATTTTACTAATAGTCTCGACTGCGACCACCAGCGCTCTCGGCAATTTCATTCTATTAGTGTTCAATGAAGAACAAATACATATTTACACAAGAATATATACA